TGGAAGATGAACAATAAAACTCTTCACAGCCTCGTCTGCTCGTCTTCTGTCCGGTTTTTTACGACAGCAGCTGGAAGCTGAAGTTCATTTTGCCAAAGTAAAAAAAAAAACACTTCAGTTTTCTTGATGGTTTTAGGATTTATTTATTTCAGTTTCCAAGCCCAGAGCTGCAGGAGACTCTCACTGTCTCACGTGCACTTTATCATGTTTTTACAGTATTTCATGTAGAACCCATGACTGCATAGAAAGAGCCTTCACTTCCTGTTGGAAAGAGAAGAGTCGGAGCTCTGATCTAACGAGGTCAGCTCTGGTTTTTGGGTGATTCAGGAGAAGGCTGTAAGTCCTGTGGTAGTGAGAGGCCTACTGGAGCAGAGCCAGGATTTCTGCTGCATCGAAGCTTGTCTGATGCTGTCTGCTCTGTTAAACCGTTAAGTCTTATGGAGGTTCTGTTTTATCGGTTCTGTAGGGAACCCAAACGCGTTTTCTGCTTGAATTAAGATGAGAACGTTCTTTTGGCCGGTTGGACTCGTCAGAGAGTGGCTGTGGAGCTGTGATGTGCGTGGTGGTGATGGGGGGATGGGGTGTTACACCACCTGTCAGCTTTCAGTGCCGTCTCTGTCCACGTGTCCAGAGATCCAGCCACTCCCACCTCTGGAAACACGACCTGGTCCGTCCAGCAGAGCGGATTTAAACTGGGAGCAGATTCCTATGTTTGGGATTAGGGATTATCTGTCTGCTAGAGATGTTCCTCAGCAGTCCGACCCCGCTGACCCGAAACTCACCGACCCACCAACACGTGTAAAACTTGCAGCAAGACCGGCCAGGACCACGCCCTCCGTGAAGCCCTGATCCAGACCCATTCCATCACAACCAGGCTTTTGGCCCAGGTTCTGATGCCAGTCTATGTTCCAGAGCACACATGAACTCTGATCTGTGTGATCCACGTGGTCCTCACCCATTCACACACACCCCTCCACCCCCCACCCCGCCATCCATCCATCAGCTGTTTATCTCATCGCCCTCCTTTCTTGCGATAATGACGTCTCCCCCTCGTTTCCCATGTCTGTCTGCTGAGCGTTGGTGTGTGTGGTCTGACTGATGGAGGTGTGTGTGTGTGTGTGTGTGTGTGTGTGTGTGTGTGTGTGTGTGTGTGTGTGTGTGTGTGTGCGTGTGCGTGTGCGTGTTAGAGAGGGAGAGGGACAGAAGGCAAAGTGAAAAGAAAAGAAGCAAACAGCCAAGACGGATGGAGACAGAGGCCATGGAGCATACTTAGAACCTGTCAGGGATGAGGGCGGGGTGTGTGTGTGTGTGTGTGTGAGGTCAAAAAGGTCAGGAGTCGGGGTCAGTCTAATTTGCTGCTTGGTGAATAGAGACCATCTCCCTCTGATGGATGGTTGGAAGTTGATTCTTGACAGCAGAGAATGTTTGGTTAGAGCTAAATGGTTCCTAAAGCTGAGGGAGGTCTACGCTGGAAGATCTGGAGAACTTCTGATGTTAAATGTGATTTAAATCAAGTGGGAACTCTGAACCAGTTCTCCTGAGTTAACAGCAGCTTAATAAAACATCTCAGCTAGCATAAGGATGCTGCAGCATATACTGTAGGGTGTGTTATTGGGACTTTTTAAATGTGATTTTTCAAATAAAGTCTTGCTAACCTCAGCAGACGGCCATTGGGTCCCCTTGGGGGGTCCCAGACCCCAATTGGGAACCACTGCCTTAAGGTATGGCTCTGGTGGCATTTTGAATCACCATTAGGAATAATTACTAGTAATTTACATCATTGCTGTAATTATTCCCACAAGCTGGAGAACTACTACAGAAACCTTTCCTGGACTTTTGGGATATTTATCGGGATAAGAGATGGTTGGATCGCTGGTAAAAGTTGGATGAGAGGAGGTGTGAGGTCATGCTCATGAAGTCCAAACTTTACACACTGGCAGCAGACATGAAAACAAGCAGGTGAAACGGGGAGTTTTAATGGATTTTCCAGGTCTGCTGGAGTTTTCCTCACATCGTTTTAACGTAAAAGACCCTGAAAAACACGAGGCTCGATAATCTCCAGCTTCCTCTCTGACCTGCTTTAACATCAGCTAGCGGGTAGGTCACCAGGACACGTCTCGAACCGTCTTTCCGTCGAGCCGCAGAAGCAGCCGTTTATCGTTAATCAGCATTAACCAACGTTAATCAGATGACCGGTGTGTATTTGTGCAGTTTTGACAGCATCAGCTGGCAGGTTAAACCATCAGAACCAGTCCAGTCATGCAAAGTCCAGCTTCCCAGTTAAGCTCCGATGAGCTTCAGAGGAGGCGGAGCCTAATCACCTCGTTCACTAGAATCATTTTACTGACATAGGTTGTTTATCTGGAAGATGCAGAAAATTAGCTCTAGAGCTGGTTTGGTCACCCGCACCTGTTGCCATGGTGACAGATGTACGGCAGCTCCACGACGCTGAAATGAAGTTTCTTTTCTGAGTTACATCTGAAGCCTCCAGATTTTCCTCAGAAGCAACCTTATTTTCAGAGGTCCCACTCCTGAGTTTGGCCACTTCCAACACAGAATTCCTGTCCTATGATGACATCACTTCCTGTAGAGCCATCACCACCATGGTTTCAGGTGACAGTCGGGTTTTGCTTTTGTTTCTGTGTGTTCCCGCTCCATTAATCCTGATTCATCTAACATTAAATGGTGTTCAGACTGAAAAATGAATGTCCCTGCAGGTCAGGCAGTTCGCTCATTTATCACACACACACACACACACACACCCTCAGGTTGAGAGTATGTTTGTGTGTGTGTGTTCTCCTGTCACTGTGCTGCAGCAGCAGTCGGTCAGCACAGAAACGGCTTCTCTTTTGGATACGTGAGAGTCTGAATGAGGTGTGTGTGTGTGTGTGTGTGTGTGTGTGTGTGTGTGTGTGTGTGTGTGTGTGTGTGTGTGTGTGTGTGTGTGTGTGTGTGTGTGTGTGTGTGTGTGTGTGTGTGTGTGTGTGTGTTTTACTACAGCGGATAAATCAGATGCAACAGTAAATGTAAAAGCCGGATATTTCAGGGTCGGTGAGCGTGTGCTCTTCTGTTTCTGTGACTCAGACGCTGAGCGAAGATCCGGTCACTTCCATCAGATCCATCACAGCACAAGAATGGGAACTCGGCTGCAAACGGCATCAACATTTTTCCATAATAAAAAATAATGTGCAAATAAAAGTTGTGACCAGTTTCAGGTAGAAATTTATTTTTTTCTATTGTTGCTAAAAGTTGCTGGAAACTTCTGTGGAGACGAAAACGAAAGCCTATGAAATAATGGGGCAGCAGCAGCAGCTCAGGAGGTAGAGCGGGTTGTCCGGTAATCGGAAGGTTGCAGGTTCGATCCTGGCTCCTGCCAGAGAATGCTGCTGTTGTGTCCTTGGGCAAGACACTTAACCCGCCCTGCCTGCTGGTGGTGGTCAAAGGGACCGGTGGCGCCTGTGTTGGTTAGTCTAGCTGTAGCTGCATTGTAGCTCATCATCACCAGGGTATGACTGGATGAGTGTGTTGTGAAGCCCCTTGGGGGGTTGTAGAACCCTAAGAAGATGCTATACAGACGTAACGTTTTGTAAGTGGTCACAATTATTAAACTGGCAATGAAACATGAATGTATTCAACAAGATAAAATGTTCCATTAAATTATGAATCGTTAATATTAATGAACCTTCAATATCCGATTTACTCTGGACAACGGTACTTTGGATAGCCAGGGGAACAACACTTATCAATAATATTTAATATTTTTACGACTAATGATTATAACTGTGGATAAATGAGTATTCAAGGTAAAATCAACTGAGACAATAACCAAACTTAAATTAAACACCATCTTAGACATTATTAAGAGTCAGATTAGATGTCTTAAGAGAGAATGTGACATCTGGGCGTAAAAGAATAATCTGCCTGAAATTAGTGATGTTTGATTAGTGATCATATTAATCTTAACCCATCCAACGCCAGTGTGCAGAGCTGCGATGCTTGTGTGATGAGAGTTGAGAGTTCTCGTGGATCCAGCTGGCCGCGAAGTAAATGGTAAATGGCCTGTATTTGATATCGCACCTTCTAGAGTCCTGGAACCCCCCAAGGCGCTTTACAACACAATCAGTCATTCACCCATTCACACACACATTCACATGCTGATGGTGATGAGCTACGATGTAGCCACAGCTGCCCTGGGGCGCACTGACAGAGGCGAGGCTGCCGAGCACTGGCGCCACCGGTCCCTCCGACCACCACCAGCAGGCAACGTGGGTTAAGTGTCTTGCCCAAGGACACAACGACAGACTGAGCGGGGCTTGAACCTGCAACCTTCCGATTACGGGGCGAGCACTTAACTCCTGTGCCACTGTCGCCCGAAGCGGTCTTGGCAAGGCTCGAGCGGAATTGACTTTGGTATCAGAGGCCGTCGTTTCCTCTGAACCAGCACGGGTGGTCAGGACAAACCCTTGGGCGAATGCGGGCGGCTGACGGAGTCGTTGCAGTTAAAACAAAAAATGGTTGTTTTGGTTCTGGAAAAGGAGGTACAAGTGTAGCTGAAACGAGATGGCTTTTAGCATGTTGGCTGGAAATGAGTCATGGAGGAAGTGTCTTCCTCTTTTGAGGGTCTGTGCAGTACCAATCAGAGGCCAGAAAATGTAGGAGGCATCAAAAATATCCTCCGACGTCACATTTGTCCTAAGAGACCCAGTGAAGGAGTTTTTCACTCTTTGGTCTAAATATGATTTAACTGTCATTGTTAAAATACTGATATTAAAATGTGACAGGATCGATAATAAAATCATCATTAAATCATCAAGTAGATTAGTTTGGTGTATTTAGGATCTGAAGTCATGCATTTTAACAATAAACAGTTATTTTGATTCATTACTGTCAAGCAATCAAGTCTCATTAAATTCACTTTAGATAAAACATTCATTGGTCTACGACTAATTTATCTGTAAAGTGAGAAAAGTGATTGTATGAAACTGAATATGGTTATTTTATTAAAAAGTTCCGTCCTCTGAAGGAGACTTGTGACCTGAAGGAGACTTGTCCTCTGAAGGAGACTTGTGACCTGAAGGAGACTTGTCCTCTGAAGGAGACTTGTGACCTGAAGGAGACTTGTGACCTGAAGGAGACTTGTCCTCTGAAGGAGACTTGTTACCTGAAGGAGACTTGTTACCTGAAGGAGACTTGTGACCTGAAGGAGACTTGTCCTCTGAAGGAGACTTGTGATGTAAAGGAGACTTGTCCTCTGAAGGAGACTTTTGACCTGAAGGAGACTTGTCCTCTGAAGGAGACGTGTTACCTGAAGGAGACTTGTCCTCTGAAGGAGACTTGTTACCTGAAGGAGACTTGTCCTCTGAAGGAGACTTGTGACCTGAAGGAGACTTGTCCTCTGAAGGAGACTTGTCCTCTGAAGGAGACTTGTTACCTGAAGGAGACTTGTCCTCTGAAGGAGACTTGTGACCTGAAGGAGACTTGTCCTCTGAAGGAGACTTGTGATGTAAAGGAGACTTGTCCTCTGAAGGAGACTTGTGACCTGAAGGAGACTTGTCCTCTGAAGGAGACGTGTTACCTGAAGGAGACTTGTCCTCTGAAGGAGACTTGTTACCTGAAGGAGACTTGTCCTCTGAAGGAGACTTGTGACCTAAAGGAGACTTGTGACCTAAAGGAGACTTGTCCTCTGAAGGAGACTTGTGACCTGAAGGAGACTTGTCCTCTGAAGGAGACTTGTTACCTGAAGGAGACTTGTCCTCTGAAGGAGACTTGTGACCTGAAGGAGACTTGTCCTCTGAAGGAGACTTGTTACCTGAAGGAGACTTGTGACCTGAAGGAGACTTGTCCTCTGAAGGAGACTTGTGACCTGAAGGAGACTTGTGATGTAAAGGAGACTTGTCCTCTGAAGGAGACTTGTGACCTGAATGAGACTTGTCCTCTGAAGGAGACGTGTTACCTGAAGGAGACTTGTCCTCTGAAGGAGACTTGTTACCTGAAGGAGACTTGTGACCTGAAGGAGACTTGTCCTCTGAAGGAGACTTGTGACCTGAAGGAGACTTGTCCTCTGAAGGAGACTTGTGACCTGAAGGAGACTTGTGACCTGAAGGAGACTTGTCCTCTGAAGGAGACTTGTTACCTGAAGGAGACTTGTTACCTGAAGGAGACTTGTGACCTGAAGGAGACTTGTCCTCTGAAGGAGACTTGTGACCTGAAGGAGACTTGTCCTCTGAAGGAGACGTGTTACCTGAAGGAGACTTGTCCTCTGAAGGAGACTTGTTACCTGAAGGAGACTTGTCCTCTGAAGGAGACTTGTGACCTAAAGGAGACTTGTCCTCTGAAGGAGACTTGTGACCTGAAGGAGACTTGTCCTCTGAAGGAGACTTGTCCTCTGAAGGAGACTTGTGACCTGAAGGAGACTTGTCCTCTGAAGGAGACTTGTGATGTAAAGGAGACTTGTCCTCTGAAGGAGACTTGTGACCTGAAGGAGACTTGTCCTCTGAAGGAGACGTGTTACCTGAAGGAGACTTGTCCTCTGAAGGAGACTTGTGACCTAAAGGAGACTTGTCCTCTGAAGGAGACTTGTGACCTGAAGGAGACTTGTGACCTGAAGGAGACTTGTTACCTGAAGGAGACTTGTCCTCTGAAGGAGACTTGTGACCTGAAGGAGACTTGTCCTCTGAAGGAGACTTGTGATGTAAAGGAGACTTGTCCTCTGAAGGAGACTTGTGACCTGAAGGAGACTTGTCCTCTGAAGGAGACGTGTTACCTGAAGGAGACTTGTCCTCTGAAGGAGACTTGTGACCTGAAGGAGACTTGTCCTCTGAAGGAGACTTGTGACCTGAAGGAGACTTCTCCTCTGAAGGAGACTTGTGACCTGAAGGAGACTTGTCCTCTGAAGGAGACTTGTGACCTGAAGGAGACTTGTCCTCTGAAGGAGACTTGTGACCTGAAGGAGACTTGTGACCTGAAGGAGACTTGTCCTCTGAAGGAGACTTGTGACCTGAAGGAGACTTGTGACCTGAAGGAGACTTGTCCTCTGAAGGAGACTTGTGACCTGAAGGAGACTTGTCCTCTGAAGGAGACTTGATACCTGAAGGAGACTTGTCCTCTGAAGGAGACTTGATACCCGAAGGAGACTTGTCCTCTGAAGTAGACTTGTTACCTGGAGACTTGTCCTCTGAAGGAGACTTGTGACCTGGAGACTTGTCCTCTGAAGAAGACTTGTGACCTGAAGGAGACTTCTCCTCTGAAGGAGACTTGTGACCTGAAGGAGACTTGTCCTCTGAAGGAGACTTGTGACCTGAAGAAGACTTGTGACCTGAAGGAGACTTCTCCTCTGAAGAAGACTTGTGACCTGAAGGAGACTTCTCCTCTGAAGGAGACTTGTGACCTGAAGGAGACTTGTCCTCTGAAGGAGACTTGTGACCTGAAGGAGACTTGTCCTCTGAAGGAGACTTGTGACCTGCAGGCAGGACTTTGATATGGCTGCTTGTGGGGAGATGGTTGTGTACAGAGTGTCTGTTTTGGTTTAGAGAAGCTGAAGTGAAGATGGCCGTGGACTGTCAGGACCTTTCTTACGCGACTCAAACACCGGCCATTTACCACAACAAGTCGTGTCTCCGCCCACATCAGCAGCTCCACCTTTAACACTTGACATCATCAGGTTTCATGGTGATGTCATTGGGTAAGAAGGAGACTTCAGGACCAGATGTTTTATCAGACAGGAACAAACTGGGGGCTGCATGGTGGTGCTGCTGGTAGCACTGGTGCCTTACAGCGAGAGGGTTGCAGGTTTGATTCCTGACTGTTGTCGGGTTATCTCCCACAGACCAGAAACATGCATGTCAGGTTAGCTGGAGCTGTAAACTGTTTCTAGGCTGGACTAGTGTGTCCCTGTGATGGACTGAGACCTGTCCAGGGTGTCCCCCACCTCTCACTTGTTGACTGGCGGATGCAGACACCTGCTGTCGGAGACTCCAGTGAAGAAGAGGGACAAACTGGTTTTATTCTAACTGCATCAGTCAGACTGATCCTGGAACCGACACGTGGCGTTCCGATTACAGGCTAATTAGCATCATCACTGATTCAGAGTGAAGGATGAGTTTCTGCCTAAAGCGTCTCCGTCTCTGGCCCTGTGGGACGGATCAGAGCGTGTCCAAACTAAAACTCATCCAATCGGAGAGCTTCCTGTTGATGATGAAACCCTCCATCCTTTCAGCCTGCTGTATGGATTCTGGACCACCAGGGTAATGAGTGTGATTCAGAAGCAGCAGGAACAGAACCAGACAGGTTCAGGACAGAGTGTAGTGCCGCGGGAGTCCACAGAACCGGGTCGTTTGTCTTCATGTCGATGGCGTTGGCAGCTTCAGGTCCTGCTGGGAGCCTGGAGAGAAAATCAACACTCCACAGTAAACAGGATTTATGCCCAAATTATTTTCTAGCTAAACAGAAAAAATGCAGAATGGACCGGAACCCGCTCTGTAATTCATTCTGTTTTAGTTAGGTGTCTCAGGGACAATAATTACTGTCCTCCTCTCTTGTTTCTCCACAACAAGCTGTGGATTTTCTATTTTAAACTTTCTAAGAACTTCCTGATCCCTAAAACATCCTGAAGCTACTGTTTCAGAGAACGTTTGATTCCCTTGGGTCTCAAATCAAAACCACTTCTGTTGGTTCCTCATTTATCTACGTTGTATCTCAGACAAAGGACTCTAGCACCCAGATGTCTTGTTCCAGAGCGATGGTGGGATGAATGGGAGACGGACCAGTGATTCAGGGCTGAAAGGTTCTGGATTAATGGGTCCATCTCATCCTGCAGACAAAACCAGATCCTGGATCTAGGATCTGCTGCTCCTCTTCAAACTCTCCTTTCTAACACTTATAGTTTATTTCCAGGTAAAACGTTCCTTCTTTAACACGGAGCAGAGCGGCACCGGTTCCCCTCAGGGCCGTGTTCTTTCCCCTCTGCTCTTCTCCCTGTTCACCAACGGCTGCACCTCCAACCACGAGTCTATCAAGCTTATCAAGTTTGCAGTCGACGCCACCGCCGTTGGATTCATGTCTGACAGGGATGAGTCTGCCTACAGAATGGAGGTCAGGCCGGTGGACTTTGGGAAGTACACACTCCCCCCATAACCCTGCCCGACCCACCATCACCTCCATCCCAGCAGAGGATGTACTTAAGAAAATCAACCTGCCAGCACAGTCGAGGCATTTCTACACCGCAATCATCGAGTCCATCCGAACCTGTGGACCTGATGGAGTTCCCGTAGAACCACGAGGATGTGGTTGGGGCAGCAGTAGCTCAACAGGTTGTGCGGGTTGTTCAGTACTCGGAAGGTTGCAGGTTCGATCCCGGCTCCGGACAGAGAATTCTGCTGTTGTGTCCTTGGGCAAGACACTTAACCCACCATGCCTGCTGGTGGTGATCGGAGGGACCGGTGGCGCCTGTGCACGGTAGCCTCGCCTCTGTCAGCGCGTCCCAGGGCAGCTGTGGCTACATCGTAGCTCATCACCACCAGTGTGTGAATGTGTGTGTGAATGTTTGTGTGAATGGATGAATGATACACTGTAGTGTAAAGCGCTTTGGAGTCCTCACTCTGAGAGGCGCTATACAAGTGCAGGTCATTTATCATTATCATGTCAGGAATGTCCTGAAGCCGGTGTCATCTCCACTCTGCTGAAACAATCTGCTGTTGCTAAGATCTGAAACGTTCTGCAGGGATTCAGGATCCTAAATGAGCCGCTTCAGTTTGAATAAAATCTGCTGGTCTGGAATCCAGACTCTGGCTTGTGGGACGTCTCATCTGTCTGATTTCATTTACTGGATCCAGACTCGCTGTTTCCTCCGTCACCAACCCCCCCCCCCCCGGTCCGCTCCATTTAACACAACTGCCAGCTACATGAAAACCCACCAACAAGCAGGAGCTCTGCCAGCAGCTCCATTACAATCCGATCTCCTCCTCCTGCTCCTCTTCCCCCTGTCTCACACACACACCACCTCTCACTTCACCACACAAACTCAGCAGTAAGCTGGGTTTTCAGCCCGATACCCCACCGAACATGTTGATCTGAGTCAGATTGTGAAACGTTATGATTTCTGTTCCAGAAGTTTATAACCATGTTTGTTTGTTTATGTTTATTTATTTAGCAGATGCTTTTATCCAAAGCAACTTACAATTTATAACCTATAGGGCATGTTGTGATCTGTGGGGGAAACCAGAGTACCCGGAGGAAACCCACGCATGCATGGGGAGAACACGCAACTCCACGCAGAAAGGCCGCAGCCGAGTTTCGAACCTGCGACCTTCGTGCTGTGAGGCAACAGTGCTAACCACTGCGCCACCATGCAGCCCAACAGCTACAGTCGAGTCTCTATTGCGGATCTGGACACAGACCAGACTTACAACAAAATCACTTCTGTACAAACTTTATGCAGAAATAGTCCCTTTTTCCTGTGACTGGTACTGTTTTTGTGAGAGAATCCAGTCTGGGTTTAAATCCCACCAAGGCACCGAGACCACCCCTTTAAGAGTTTCTACGCTCAAGCCTGATTTCTACTCCTCCATCTGCGTCGGTGCGGAGACACGCCACGCCTCACCACGGTACAAGGGCTTTCCAACATGCTTCCAGAGGGTGGCAGAGACGTGCCCAAACGTTTAAACATCCGTCAAAAGTAACGGAGGACGCAAGCTTGTGATTGGTCAGGATGCCGCTTCCTGTAAATTTGTCGCCAGCACCGCCATTGCCCCGTTAAAAAGTAAAATGATACTTAGTGGCAGACTCAGAACAGATTTAAGAACGCATCGCGGAAAGTCCCAACAACATGAACGTTTATTCACCTGCGACTGAAAGAGTGCAAAATATGGAGCAAACGTGGACGGAAATGACAGAAAACGTAGGTTTAGAAGTGGCGACCGGGTGAAGAGGTGGAGGAGAATGAAGGGCAAATTTGTCCATGTGATAAAGTCTCAGAAATATATAAACACACAAGTAAATACACTATTGTGGACCGAATGCACGAGTCTTATGGTGGCAGGAAACCACAGGAAGCCCTCTGATGTCCTGGCGGGGAATTGCTTTACAACACTTCGCTGCCTGAACAGAAGTTCTAATGTGGAAACCTTTCCGACACTCCATGTGCGTGTCCATTACAGAGCTCACTGAGAAGTATAAAAAAGGCTTTAGACGTGTGGCTCGGGAATGACGTCACAATTCACACAGGTCGTTCAGTCCTACCTGAACAACAGGAGGTCCTCTGCAGCTCCTGTCGCCTATGGAGTCCCTCAGGGACCTCTTCTGGGACCACCTCTGTTCAGTTTTTATGAAACCTTTAGGTTAGACAATCCTGAGGTCTCCCAACTGCTACATGAGCTTTAGTGTTCATCAAACAAAACCTCCTGTCTACAGGAAATTAAAACCATGTCAAATCAGACAGAATTTGTCACTAAATTTCAAATTTCAGGCTTAATTTAGCCGTGATTCTGATTTTTGTGTGACTCTCCCAGCCTAGTGAACTAAATCAAAGTGTTGCTTTGCAAAATTTGCTCTAGGAATGCTCCATTGGAGCCTAGCAGCATTCTGGCTGGCCAATCACAGCTCTCTGTAGGGGTTTCAAATCGATAGTGATTGTGTCACACCCTGTCCTGTCTCCCCATTGGGTTCAGTCCTGTGTTCATGTTAATTGCTCCCACCTGCCTCTCGTCTCCCAATCACCCAAGGTCCCAGCTCCTCCTGTATTTAAACCACGTTAGTCCATTTTGTCTGGTTGGTTCATTGTTTCATTCGTCCTGCGTGTCTCATTAAAACCCTTTAAATGTTCCTGTCTGTCTGCCTGCCTGCCTGCCTGCCTCCTTCCTCACCCGCGTGTGGATCCTCACCTCCATTTCACTCACCGGCACGCCTGACAGAATGAACCAACCCAGTAAAGGATCCAGCGGGGAGGTTCTTCCTTGGGAGTGTTTGCTCCAGTTTTTAACCGCAGATCACCGGCTGGCTTCTCCTCCTCTGGCCTCGTCTCACCGCGGACGCTGTCGCCGAACCCCAGCTACGACGATCCCCTCCGGCCTCCCGGAGCTAGATGTGAGGTTGGACCAGGAGACGCAGCTAGACCGCTCCTGCTACTGCTGCCCCGGCACGGCGCACCAGCTTGGACCCGCCCCCATTCAGACCAGCAGTCCCGTCTCCGGTCCAATCAGCGCCTCCGTCATCTGCAGGCGGAGGAACCACACCTACAGCCCAGCTGACAGAGCTTGACGGGCTCCAGGCGGAGCTTGGCCGGATCCGTCAGCTCGTCAGTCTCCAGAAGTTCCAGCTGGACACCCTGTCCTCCCCGAATCACCAGGAGAAGGTTTCAGTCCAGTCAGCAGCTCCCTCGTCTCAGGGCCAGAGGAGCGAGCCCGCGGTCCATCCAGCAGAGCTCGCCGGTCTCCGAGCTGAGCTGGCCCAACTCCATCAGAGCCTCAGTCTCCAGGAGCTCCAGCTGGACAATCTATCCTCCCTGCTCTCCCAGTTTCCGGCACCACCAGTTCAGTCAGCTCCTGTCCCAGCGGTGGTCCCGGAGGTCACACCGCATCCAGTTCCCGTGGTGGCCCCGGAGGTCGCACCGCATCCTGTTCCAGCGGTGGTCCCGGAGGTCGCACCGCATCCGGTCCAGCC